TGACTTGCCCTCTCCCCAACCCCCAAAACCTCACTCAGCTCTAAAAAGGGCGATGATAAATGGCTGGTTGTGCGCCCCATTCCAACGGTCGTGAAGGATGTGGTTGTCTGTTCATAAGCAGGGAGCCTTGTCATACATGTGAATCACCCCTAGATCATTTCCCTCCTTGGAGAAGGAGAAGGAACTAGTCTCATGAGTGAGAGAGAGAAAGCAGGCAAGAGGGCTAACCCACGTGTGGCGCTGACCTTGGGCTAAGATCCTGTTTGACCTTGCCTTTCCCTGGAGCACCCCGCTACCAGTCCCCTTCCGAACCCCACAACCCATGCTCCTTCCCAACTCACCAGGAAGCCATCCCTAGATCAGCTCCAGGAAGCCATCCAGGTCTGAACAGCTGCTCCTTGCTTATGTGTTTCTCTTGCATGTTGGGTGTTTTCCACGGGGCATGTAGCCCAGTTTCCCATTGGACTATGAACAGCTGGGCCTTCTTTTTCGCCTCAGTCTTTCCTTTTCTCCCAGCTTCACCTATCAGGTCCCACATGCACTTCATTGTTTTGGTGATCGGGAACAACAGAGGGAAACGAGGGTCTGCTCAGCGCTCACCATGGCGGAAGCTTTACCCCAGATCATCTCAGGTCAACTTCCCCAAAGCTCTGTGAGGGTACAGGTGAGGAAGCGGCAGCCCAGAGTGGCTGGCCCCAGGTCGTGTGGCTAGGAAGAGCCAGAGGCTGGATTCAAACCCTGATCTGCCCAACACCACTCATTCCCTAACGCAGTGGTCGGCAAACCCATTAGTCAACAGAGAGGCAAACCACGGCTCGCGAGCCACAGTTTGCTGACCACTGTCCTAACAGAACAGGGCCTGAGAAGATCCTTTTCATGCTGCAGCTGCACATCCTTTATCCCGTGGGCTGGACCCACAGTCCAAGAACTTAGAGAAAAACTGAAGGGCTGAGAAATGAACAGGTCTGGGGCCAATTCCTAAAAATGTAGCTCCCAGGTCCAAGCAAAAACCTGTAATAATCTAAACACACAGGAGAACAACTTACTTCCACAGGGTCAATCTTTCACTTATCAACTCAGGTCACCCCGGATTTGGTCCACGCCCCGTGCCTCGCAGTGACCTCCTGCCCCAGCACGAGGGATGTCCCGCCCAGGGAGGCAGTCCTGCACTGCCCTCTCACTGCTGTGCGGGCCGGAGGCTGCTCTCCAAAGCCAGACTCCAGAGGAGAGAAGGGCCCCGTGTTTGGGTCATTTCCTCCTTTGGAGGTGAAGTGACCTGAGTTTACCCAGATCTGTCTGAACTAAGAGACCCTGAGCAATCTCTAACTTCTCCACGACTCACTTAACCCATCTGTATAAAGGCATCAAAGAACCAAGCCCGTGTGGGGTTACAGGCAATGGACGGTAGGAATCACATGAAATCATGCATGTGAAGTGTCTGGCGCCGGGAACGGTAAATGCTGACACTGCTGTTATTGGCATTCCCTAAAGAGTCCTGTTAGAGGCTCAGAACATCCATGCCTGGCATTTGTCTGAATTAAACAATCAGGAAAGGAAATGACAGTGAAAGCACAGCGCCTCCCACATCCTAACAAATAGCGTCTTGTTTGTTTTAGGTAAACAAGCTTCTCTCCACCTCCACATGTCCTGACATACACCTGCACATACATGAGCGCAAAGAATTCTGTGGACCTGGAAAACCTGCAAAGGAAGACATCTGCAGTTTGCACCTGGCATCATCAGGGCCATTTTAAACACAAGTGGTCTGGGCCAGAGCCAGGTTACCTAAGGTCTCCCCCGTGGCAACTCTTATAAGCTATGAGAGGAGCCCAACGCCAAGCCAGGGGGCCTGGCCTAAGCAGCAGCTGCCCACCCTCCCCTGACCCCACCCCAAGCAGAGGCTGGGCAGAGAGGAAGGAAGCCAGGGACTGACGGCATTATCCAGACGATGGAGGCCACATGCCCGCCTTTCATAAACAGACCCAAAGCACAAGACCCTCGGCAGTCCCCACAGCTCCCCCTCATTCTCAGGGAAGAGCACGCCCTTTGCTGGATGTCCTGAGCGAACTTCTGCATTGTGTTCCCAGCATCTGGAGCCAGCAGAGCCCTCCTGCTTGGACCCCAGGCTTCTCCTCGGCTCCCTCCAGCTGCTACTATGCACATCTCAGAAAATCGCTCTGCTCTGCAATTTGCCAAAACACAAACTCGAGACTTCACCATCATGGAGGACAGGGGGGAAGAAGGCACGCTTCTCCGGGGCAGGGGCTTCCAGAATATAGGCGAGTTAGACACAGTGTGTCCTGCCAGCTGCCCACACCGGACTGCCTTACCCAGAACACTGCACCTTCCAGTGTGTGGTGTCCACCGTGCCAGGGCCGAGAGATTCTAAACTTCAGAGACACAGTCCCCAGGCACCCCAACCTGCTCCTCCTGCTGTGGTGGACCCCACCTACACTTTCTATTACTGGGCACCCTCCCCTTAGACACTATGCTATGTGTCTGCCCCAAATGCGTTAGGGAATCTCTTGTTACCACCAGATATTTGTCTTCCCGGTCAGCCCCAACTAAATGTGGGACACTTCAATGGACGAAACCCACCCCACAGGCCAGAGGCCAGTCAGACCCCGGTGCTGGGACTAGCTAAGTGGCAAGGGACTTGACTCCTTCTGGCTCTCAGTTTCCTCATCTGTAAAAAGACGGGGGTTGAGCCAGAGGAATCCTGGGGTCGGTCCCTGCCAGCTCCGCCATGTCATACATGTAACACTTTCTCCTGAACTGTTTTCCACAACGCTAGTTCATGGCTCTGCAGGACCCCATCTGTTCAGTGACCTCATCCCCTGCCCCAAACATAATGTCGGTTTTTAGCATGGGAAGCAGAGATGTCCTGGGAAACAGTTTGTCTGTAAAAAGGGAGGAAAGGATCATTTCAAGGGATTTGGACAAGACTTCTTTTGTATTTCTCACATAAAACAAGTTATTATCAATCTTAAAACCAAAAATCTTTCTCCCTTTTTTTGCCAGACCATTAATAGCTGGTTTTCAAAAGTGCTTTCTTAGTCAGAATCTCACCAAAAATAAGCTACCATTTAATGACTGCTTCTTATGTGCCAAGAACTGGGCTAAGTGCTTTGCATGGATGATCTCATTTAATTCTCCCAGCAACCCTATGAAGTAGACCATTATTGCCCTCGCTTTAAAAGCGAGGAAACTGAGGCCCACAGAATTTAAGTAACTTACCCAAAGTTGCTCAGGGCCCTCGCACTGAACTGCCTTTAAACTCTGGGCAGTGGATCCCTCCCTGGTCACTGTAGCAACCCTTCCGGCCGGTCGCCAGTATGTCCTACATCGATAACGATGGACATCATTTGTCAGATTAGTAGGAGTTGATGTTTTACCTAAAATCCAGAGTTGGAAAAGCACCTGTATGGGGCCTCGGAGTAGAGAGTGCAAATCTGCAGAAAGCAGTGCCGACCTTCACTGGAGAGTAGAAAAAAGAACTCCCAAAACTTAGCCTGTAACATCTGAGGGAAAAAATGAGGGAGGCTGACGACACTAAGCGCTGGGATGTGTACACGGACATCTATCCCTGGAATGGGATGGCCACTGGGTGACCCAAGTCCTCCAAAAAAGAGCTTTCTTGAAAAGCAGGGGGAGTCGTTTGCTGAGCCTAAGAAAGCAAAAGAACCAACTCTATGGCCACGCCCAGAAATGTCCCCCCACAGGCACCCACCTCTCTGTCTAGTCAGGAACCAGCCCCCAAAGTCCACCTCTTCCCCAACAGGAGCCCAGCGAACGTGGCTCCTACACGAAACCCAAAGTTCAGAGCTGTTGGCCATAAAGGCAGAAACAGCCCCCTGAGGCTAACATTAGCATAAACCCCAGTTCCCTTCCAACAGGGAAATAAAAGGCATTTCAGAGGAATCAGCGTGCAGTCTAGGGCAGCAACCAACAGCCTGTTCTAATTGTTAAAATTAAGGCTTTGGGCAGTCTGAATGCCCCTCTAAGTGTCTCATTTGAAAATAAGATGCAGTCCTTCTGCTTGGGATGCCCGGCTGCCTGCTTCTTCTGTCTCAGGTGCGGGAGCTCAGGCTGCTGGGGCCGGGCGTCCCCAGGCGACAAGGATGCCAGGCTCGCATCCTAAGGTGCAAAGGATGGGACGCCAGGCCTGGCTGAGATCAAAGAAGCCGTGTCACCCAGACTCCCAAGCTGGGCTCCATCACCTTAGCCCTTCCTCATTAAGTTGGGGGGGGGGGGGAGGAAGGGGGAGGGGCAGCCGTTCCTCGGAAACCACAGCAAACAGCCTCCTCCTGGTGTCTGGAGCCGGAGAGCATCCCTTGGGAGAGGAAATGAACCCAGTCAAGGGTCACGTCCAGAGGAGGGATAAAAGGGGAAAGCCACCCTTCTCCTCGCACCTACGGACACAAGGACTTCACGAAGGAAGAAATCCAAGCTCGGGGCGGGGAGGGTGGATGGAGGTGGGACAGGGGGCGCGCGGCGGCTTCCCTCTGACCCCAACCCGGGCCTGGGGGGAGGCAGAGACCGGGGCGAACGTGGGGGGAAGGTAGAGGGGTGCAAGCGCGTGGTTTCCTCCCCCAGGGCCGGCCTCGGGCTGCGTGCACAGGGGTCCCCAGCCCCCCGGGAGGGCCGGGGAGACGCTCCTTCCCAGTGGGGCTTCCCAGCGAGGATCTGAGGACCGTTCCCCCCACCAGCCACCACCGCTCGGGCGGGGGGAGGACTTCACAGCCGCGGTAACAGACCGGGGCACCGCGGGCCAACTCCAACGCCAAAAAAAGAAAACGCGGGGCTGGGGGAGGCACGAGGAGGGGCGGCTGGGAGAGCCGCCCTGGAGACCGCGGCCCTGCACACCAAACTCCGCGGCCGGGCTGCCTGTGCGCCCTCGGCTCCGGGACGCGCAGCGGGGGACCGGGGGCCAGCCGGGGGTCCCTGGCCATCCCCCCATCCCCCGGGCAGAGGCGTTGGGGGGGGGGGGCAGTACTCACATAGTGCTTGGAGGGGTTCCTCCGCTTCTCCACGTCCACCACGGTGGCGTCCTGCACGCAGTAGGCGAGCATCTTCCCCCACAAAGCGAGTGGCGCCCCCCGGCGGCGTCACCTTCTCATCCCGGCCGCCCGGGCTCCGGCTCCTCCTGCTCCCCGAGTGCCTGCGGCCACCCGTCCCCCCTGCGTCCGGGCCGCCGCCGCCGCCCCGGCCCCCGGCGCTGCAGGTACGGCCCCGGGCGCTGCGGGTCCCCGAGGGCGCGCGGGCTCCGGCGCCCCGGCGGTCCCCGAGGGCCTGCCCGCTCCCTGCGCTCCCGCCGCCGCCGCCGCCGCCGCGCTCGGCTCGCCCGCCGCCCGCGCTCCGCCGCCCGGTGGGTCCGGCGGGAACTGGCGGCGCGGAGGGGGCGGGGGTGTGTCCCGCCGGCGGGGACGGGGCGGGGACCCGGCGCCCGCTGTCAGCGCGCTGGGGAGGGCCCGGCGGCGCCCCTGGCCGCGCTCCGGCTCCGGTCCGGGGGGCTCGGCGCTGGCGGAGGCTGTGGGCGCAGGAGGCGGAGGAGGCTGGGCCAGGCAGGCAGGGAAGGGAGGGGAAGGGAGGGAGGGGAGGGGAGGGAGACCAGAGGGGAAGCGCGCGGGGAGGGGCTCCGGGCCCGGGGGAGGGGCTCGCGGCGGCGGGGAGGGGGCTGCTGCCCAGCCGGAGCCCAGAGCGCGGCCGGCGGCCTGGCGCGGCCCTGGCCACTTCTCCGGGGCCCTGAAACTCTGGGTGGCTTCCGAGGGGGAGAGGGAGGGGGGCGCCAGCTCGCCCCCCACCCAGGCTCTGCGTTTTGGAGCGGATTTTTGTCTTTTTGTCCCTACCTTTCCTTGCCCCTCTCCCTCCTTCCTCTCCCCAAGATCTCTTTCATGAAAAGGAGTTTATGTCCCTGCTGTTCCTGCTCTGGCCCCCCAGGAAAGAACGGGCATGGGAATGGGGCCGCATTCAATCCTCCGAGCCTGAGCCTCCTTTGATAAGCCACCTGCCCCCCCCGCCCCCCCGCGGGTCACAAAGGATGAATTCTCCCCGGAAATGGGATCGATCCGCTGCCTAAGTCGCCCATCGATCTGGACCTCTTTGTAACTAACCTGTGACATCACTTACCAGGGAGGTGACAAGACTGCAGAACACTGCTGTCTGAAGCCCTGGCTCCCCTGAGGGAGGCGGGAAGGGAGCACACAATGGTGGGATATTTTCACTGGGCTCATCATTCGCCCCAGGCTCTGGCTTTCCCACCCCTCTTCCTCTTGCACGGAAAACGTGGCTTTCCACGCCACTTGTCTGTCCCTGGACCTAGAGCACAATTACTATTTAATTACCTTACCTCATGTGTTTCAACACTTTTTCCCATTCTAGTTTCAAAATATATTTAAAGATGTAGTGTTTTCACAATGAATCTGACTGCTTCACTATCACAAAAAAAGCTTTGTGACTATGGACCAAGGTGAAACATCTAAAATGGAGGTGATATGTTTTACGACTTTATTGTATTAATATTTTCTTCTTTGCCCTGTCAGAACCTATGTACCAATCAAAGACTTCATTCACCTATTTGCCCGGGTCAGAGTACCCCACTATTCCTCCAATCTTCTTGGGGAAGGATGCTAGAACCCTGAGCGACCCCACTACCTAAATATTTGACCTTGAGTAAACACTGAAAGCCATCTTAATGTTCTCATTTGTAAAATGTGGGTGCTAAACTAGATGGTCTTTTATTTTATTTTTAAAATATTTTTATATTGATTTCAGAGAGGAAGGAAAAGGAGAGATAGAAATATCAATGATGAGAGAGAATCATTGATCAGCTGCCTCCTGCATGCCCAACACTGGGGATCAAGCCCACAACCTGGGCACGTGCCCTGACCGGGAATCCACTGTGACCTCCTGGTTTGTCGGTTGTCTCGCTCAGCCATTGAGCCACACAGGTAGGGGTTGGTGTGTAGATGGCTTTTTAAAATTTCTTCCTACATACACTCTAAGTTCTTAGCAATAGTTAATCATATGGAGATACTTTGAGTTCTTCGTTTTTCCTAATTAGCATGTATAGATTTGACACTTTAAAAAATAGGTTTTTTAAATTTATTCTCTAAAATTCTAGAATTTTAGGATTGATTGAGACACTTGTGCTATGCTCATTTACAAGGCATTTAGGGACAGAAGAGAGTGAGAGAATTCAATTAATGTTTGTGGAACTGAAAACTGAATCCCATTGACAGATGCTTATCCCTTCCCTCTACGAGAGTCCAACTGAGAAACCAGGACAGCGGGGGAGCGTGGTCCCCTCCTCCAGAGGTCATGTTCAGGTCCCCGTCAGAAGCAGTAGGGTGATGGGAGACCACTGATGTGTGCTGGGGAGGGACAGGCGGCGCCCCTTATTAGACTTTATCTCATAAAATGTGCCTTAGGACTCAAGGAAATGGAAGCTGAAGTAATCCAGGAGAGCTTCACGGAGCACGCTGTCCCTGTGCCGGAGCCTGGGGGATGGGCAGAGTGTGGAGCCCCTTGGATTACTCTGCCTCCTCTGCACTCTTCCAGGCCAGCGGCACTTGCCTGGAGCTGCTTGGACATGTGCAGATCTGTGCACGACACACTTCATTTCCTCTGAGCGCACCTCGTGCAGAGGGGCAGTTTTAAGTGATCTTACACTTCTGTGTACGCCTCCTGCAGCCATGCACACTATCTCATACACAGTAGTGGTCACTCTATGGTAATCTGTTAAATGAATGATCGGTGGAAGAAGAAAAGCTGGAGCGAAGAGACCTGACGTGTAACCTGAAGCCTGAACCAGCTGGCGACAGGCAGAGGGTCAGGGGAGAGGGGGAGGCACAGAGATGGAAATAAGGAGAAGGATGGGCATGGGGGTTCCAGACTATAAGGGATCTTGACATTAGGTACAGCTTCTCTATCAGAGAAGATGATTAAAAAAAAACAAACAAACAAAAAAACAAACAAAAATCATTGTAGCCCTGACCGGTTTGGCTCAGTGGTTAGAGTGTCTGCTTGCAGACAAAAGGGCCCCGGGTTTGATTCCAGTCAAGGGCACATATCTTGGTTGCAGGCTCCTCCCTGGCCTGGGCCCTGGTCAGTTCTCATGCAGGAGGCAACCAATCAATGTTTCTCTCACATCGAATTTTCTGTCTTTTCCTCTCTCCTCCACTCTCCCTAAAAATATCCTCAGGTGAGTATTAACAGCAAAAATCAAACAAAAAAAAACCCAAACACCATTGTAGATACTGGAGCAGGAGTCCTGGTGAAAGGTGATCTCAGTGATGAAAAAGAAGTCAAGGCATCAAGCCCACAGCGCGGCCTGTTGGCAGGTCCAGCGTAGACCCAGGATCGGCCCTCAGCACTGAGCTCCCCTTACAGAAAGGGCTTCTGGGGATCAATCAAGACAGCCTGTGGGTTCATGGTAAAGAGATTCATAATGGCACTCAGGGACTCTTCCTCTGTGGTCCACAAAGTATCCTGAAATACAAATTTAGCCTGAGAAGCACCTGATGAGCGGAGTTCGTGTTCAACTGTTAGAGGGAAGGCAGAGAAGGGGCTTGGCTTGGGAGTCAGAGCAGTCAGCTCAGTGAACAGGCATCAGTGGTTTCCCACTCACCCTCCTGCTTCTGATGGGGACCTGAACGTGACCCTACACACAAGACATCTGGAGGAGAGAGGACGTTCCATGCTACCCTGCTGTCTAGTGACTCAGTGCTCACCTACAAGGTGATGGCCTCCTTCCAGCCTAAGAAACCCCAGACTACCTGACATCTCCTAAATTCAGGGTCTTGGAGCACAACTGGAGTGCTTCCAACTCTCTCTGAGCTCCCAAAGTACCTCAATTGGAAGGAGCAACTGAGTGCCAGCCCTCACCCTGACCCCATGGTGCCAAGGCCTCTGGGGATTCATTGGGCAGAAGTTATTTATACCTGTGGGAAGAAATCTCTTTTCCCTCCTTGAGCTGTATGCCCAGGAGGGTTTAAGGATAAAATGGTACAGGCTCTCCTTACTTTCTGGATACATTTCAACCTCTTTCCCCTCACCCCCACAGTGCCTTAGGCATTCCTTGCTGTTCTACACACATGTACTGAGTTGCTGCCTCACATGTGCCTGGCGTGCCCCAGAAATGATTGAGACCTGCTGAAGGCTCCTTAGAGACCAGATTTTGTTTCATTCATTCAATACCCCAGCATGCCTGGCACATAGTAGGTACACTGGGTGGTCCGTGTTGAAACCATCGGCTCAAGGAGCTAGTAGTACTGGAGAGGACGGGGTAAACCCCTATATTGCTACCCCCTTCTATGAACTGGGGATGACTCCAATCTAAGGACCTTGTGTGAATTCAAGTGACAAAATAATAGTATAATCATAAAAATACCAACAAAACAAAACAAAAAGGAAAAAGGGAAAGAGGACTCAAAATAAAGATAAATATGGACTGATATATGAAAATCTAATTTTTTTCACAAATATAATTGTAACCGAAACTGGTTTGGCTCAGTGGTAGAGTGTTGGTCTGCGGACTCAAAGGTTCCAGGTTCGATTCCAGTTAAGGGCATGTACATTGGTTGCAGGCACATCCCCGGTAGGGGGTGTGCAAGAGGCAGCTGGTCGATGTTTCTCTCTCATCAACGTTTCTAGCTCTCTATCTCTCTCCTTTCCTTTCTGTAAAAAATCAATAAAATATATTTTTTTAAAAAGAAAGAAAATGTGTGGCAATTGAAATTCATTTGGTTACTAATCATACATTGCCTTAGCTCAGCCACTACTGTAGTAAACCCTTATTTACATTTTTTTTTTTTTATTCTTTAACTTTGCCATGCTTAAGCTGTACCTTCTAAACCAGTAAGAAGCCAGTGAGGGTCTTGAGGGCTGTGAACTTGGACTCTGGCACCACGTTTTCCCTCCCACCCCAACTACCAAAGCAATTTGACCACCTACCACACACCCGACTCAGCACACCCTTTATATATAAAAAGACTCAATAAGTGGTTGTCTTTTTTTAATTTCTGGGCTCTCAACAGACATTGGTAGACGCTGCTGGTGAAAGTGATGTCTATGAAGATTTGAACAGAGTTTTGGAGAAGGACTTGCCCAGCCTGGATTCTAGTCCTGCTCAACAACAACTCAGCCTTGTGACTTTGAAGTCACTTCTCATATCTGGGTGTCTTTCTGGTCCCTTCCATCCCCTAGCATGGAGGATAACTCTTATGTAAAGTGAGGTCTAACTGGATATTACCCAGTGATGTGCAAATTTGAGAGAAATTTGGGGCCCTCTCCTGGCCAAAGTGGTTTTAGCATCTTTTAACTCAAGCAGGTGGACCCCACTATATTCCTGGCTGACCTCTGGCAGAGATAAGCAGGAGA